GCTCCTGGCCACCGCAGCCTCGACCTGCTGGGCTCTGGCGATCCTTCCACCTCAGCCTCCCAAGTAGCTGGAACTACAGGCAGGCGCTACCATGCCCAGCTAATTTTTCTTGATTTATTGTAGAGATGAGGTCTCGCCAAGTTGCCCAGATGGGTCTCGAACCTGCGGGCTCAGGCAATCCACTCACCTCAGCCTCCCAAAGTGCAGGATTACAGGCTGAGTGACTGAGCCCAGCTGGTAGTGACTGTAATGAAGTAGAAAATGAAATACAGTTTACTTGCATTCTCACACCTGTCAGCTACAACAGTTAACTGTGGGCAGTTTTTATCCACTGATTAATGTTTACCAATAAAATAACAATAATGGCTACTACATAAACCAGCAAATCTCTAGAGCAGCACTGTCCACCAGAACTTTCTGTGATGATGGAAATGTTCATATACTGTGCTTTTCAATGCAGTAAGTACCCTCTAGCCACATGGTGGCTATATGGCACCTGAAGTATTGCTAATGGGACTAAGGAACTGAATATTACACTTATATTTCATTTTAATTCATTTAAATAGCCACATATGGCTAGTAACTACCATAATGGACAGTACAGCTCTAGAGTACCTAGGAGAAGAAACACATGTACACACATTTGTTTCACTTAATATCTAACATTTATTAAAAATTGAAGATTACAGAAAAGCATGAATAAGACTGGCTTCATTAAACAAGCCTCATTAACTTACCTTTGACTAATAAATGAAGATATTTAATACCACAAAAGGAATTTGAGAATAAAGTCTATTCCAACCTCTGAAATTAAAAACAAAAGCAGCTATTTTCCAAAGGAGAGAGCAACCACAGATCTCCCTCTAGTGGCAAAAGATAAAGTTGTTGCTGAAAAGCTGAATTGCTCCTCTACACATAAAACTGATGACATTTCTCATAAATTTATAAATTCAAAAGATTCTAGATCAATATGCAAAAAAACAGGTCTTATTTTTCACTTACTATAAATGCTAACATTTCTAGAAATCTGATCTCTCCAAAAAAAAAAAAAAAATGTTTTGCCAATGACATTTGGGAGACTGGGGCTTTCACAAAACAAAAGTTTATAGAGCCGAACCAAACTGTGAGTAAAAGAAGAGGGCAATTCTCTGTTGGTAAATGTTCTGGGATGGAGCATGAAAGGAGCCGAGTCAGAAATATAAAGTAATAGGCAGCAGTGGAATTTGTAAAAACTCAAGGTACATCAAAAGAAGCAATAAAAATGATAATATTGTAAGAGTTCTTAATCAAAACAACACTCTTCATTCTGAGTCTGATTCTCCATTTTAAATGACAGCTCTGCCACATTGCCAGTTTTAATTACAACCATACATACATACATACTCATTTAGATTTAACTACTGATAACTACTGTCAAGTTTAAGAAGGAAATCAAAATAGAAATGACTTGTGTTACAGCTATTGATACTCCCTCACAGCTTAAGGGAAAACAGGCTTATATGCACTGTAGTAAGTACAGAATGTACAGAAGACAGTCATATATACAAAAGTGCATTGATATAGTAATACATTTAGCAGAAATACAGGAAAAAAAATCCTGGTTAACAATCTGATACATTACAGTATTTAAGACTACTTGCAGATTCTCCAAACCAGGCAACTTCCTACTTGCTTTGGTTATGATATTGATGCTACATAACTAATCTTTGAAACTAAAAACAAAACCCCACAATTTGAAATTTTTAACCATCTGTGAAATGTTTTACATATATTTGTGTTTATAGTTAATAGCTTTTGACAACAGTTCTATTAAATTCCCAACACAAAGATTTAGAATGGATAATACTTATATCTAAATTAGAGTACTCAAATAGGAAATTAAACTGATCTACCACAGGAACAGACATTATCTGCTCCATTCCTAAAAGCCTCAGCTAGATAACCTAACCCCAAGTCTCAATTTAAACCCGATAGGTCAGCTACTGTTAAACGAGCAAGCAGCTCCACAAAATAAGTCATGGCTTCAGGCCACTATTCCTTAGAATAATTCTTAACTTGTCATTTATACATATTAATTCTACAACTACCTTTACATAGTCAAAATGTATATGCATAATTAGAGCAATCTTCCCCTTTTCACCTTCATTCCTAACCACAAAAATGAACACAGATTTCCACAGGTTTCATTGACCACTAAGATGTAACAAAAAAATGTAGTAAAGAAAAAGTATTATATTCTGAATTCAGAGAAGGCCAAATCAGTTTTTTTGAGCTCAGCATAAATGTGAAATCAAAATTTAATTCATCATTATGTGATTATGGCTAAAACACTAATTACCTTAATTTAAATAATATTTGGAAGGAGAGGTGAAAACAATTTTAATATTAGAAAAAATAAGAAAATAAAATTGTAGTCATTCAACTAAGAACTTCAGCTATACCACACAACTTCCTTACTCTTAATAGCCAGTTAGAATAGTGTTCAGAGTTCCTTCTAAGTCTTTTGGAATAAGTAAATTGTTTTCCAAAAAAATAAGACTTAAACATTCTAAGGAATTTGTTCCAGATACTATGCTGACAGAGATGCCCAACTCAAAATATCTCTCAGATGTTTCTCACTCACTTAACATAATCTCGTTTTTGAGATAAAATTTATGTTACTTATCAAACTTAAAACAAATCCAAAGTTACCATAGTACATATGTATACAAACACTCATTTCCTAATAGTCCTTTCCAGGATTAAATTTACCTCTAGTTTAAACATGTTGAATGCATCAGTGCACTCAACATCAACACTCTTACTTGAATTACTGGGAATTTTCCTATCAACTGCCCCAAACTATAAATTGACTATAAATACTACCCACCAATTCAAACAAACATTTTCCTTGAAGATAGAACTGCTAAAAAGGTCATTTGTTAAAGGAAAGGGGAGGGAAGTGTTCCAGCTATTACACAAACGAATTCAAAGAATTCCTAAAGTTAACAAGAGAATCAGCTTGCTATATCATCTCTGTCGTTGAAGCACTTTTGCCTATACCTTGAAAGCTATCTTTCCAGACACTAAAAGTGATCTAGTTTTAAAACAGTATCCTAGCCTATGACCTTCTCCACAAAAAAATAAAATAAAAGAACACATTAAGACATACTTTAGCCAGGCTCGGTGGCTCAGTCTGTAATCCCACACTTAGGGAGACTGAGGTGAATGGATTGCCTGAGGCCGTGGGTTCGAGACCTGCCTGGGCAACTTGGCAAGAACTCATCTCTACAATAAATCCAAAAAAAGATTAGCCGGGTGTGGTAGCGCGCGCCTGTAGTTTCGGCTACTTGAAAGGCTGAGGTGAAAGATCGCTGAAGCCCAGCAGGTCGAGGCTGTGGTGGCCGGGAGCATGCCACTACACTCCAGTCTGGGCGACAGAGTTAGACTCCAATTCAAAAAAAAAGACATAATTCAGATAACTTTCAAGGCGCTTCAATGATCTAGCTGGGCTAAAAATAAAGTTATGCAAATGAATAAGATCTGAAGGTTTTTGTTCTGTTTTGCACTCTACTACTGTTGTTTGGTTCCATTTAATGGTTTTGCTTACTGATATCCAACACCATGAGCATTATATAAGACGAATTACAACATTTAGATTGCTTTTGAGTTTGGAAAGGCCTGATATTAACAAAAAGTAGAGTTCACCATCTTTAAGGCACATGAGGCTACACAGAGTAAGCCATGAACAAAAAAGTCTCTGCTAGAAAACTCGGAAACAAACAAGACTTCTATATTGGTTGTGTACTAACATTTTTGGCATAAATATGAAGACATTTGACAAATTTTACAAATTTTAAAGCTCATTAAAATCTGGATAGCTTTTATAGTAATTTCCCCTAATTTTTATTTTATAAGAGGATTTAGTACTTTTAAAAGCTAAATAAAATGAGATATCTACCCAATCTATAGAGAGCCATTTTAGAAGTCAATTCTGGGATTAATTCAGCAATATCTAATTTATCCAAGGGACAGCGGAACTGAACAAAACTGCCATAGCCTAACAAAAAATAAGGTTAGTCTAACGAAAAAAACAAAAAGTATTGTTTTATTCTAAGTTCTTGTTGGGACAGAATGAACTATCCCTTTGTACCCCACTACACATTATAATACACTGCCGCCTTCCTTTAATTCTGTTGCAAAGCTATAGAAGAATACATGCTGTTTTGTTTAACTCAAGGTTTATTCTTTAAAAAGCTGCAGTAGAAACTGACATACTACTACAAGATCTCTAATAAAAGGTTTCTAGATAAATTGGTGGGGAATTTATCATACCCTCAGTTAACAAGGTTTATTTTAAAAGGGGAGACATTACTTATTCCAAGAAAGAGACAATTCAAATGTGAATTATCTACATAAGACATTAAAACTGAAAAAAAAGTACAACTCATTAACAAAGACAAAAGAACTTTTTATTTGTCTTTCTGCTGGTTTCTTTTTTAGGGGGACAGAGAAAGACTTTTTAATACCCCTCTTCGATCATAAGCAACTTGTTTAATGTTTCTCTTTTAACCAAAGGAAATATTTTCACTATCCTCCAAACCAACGTTATGGGCTACCTTTAATTTATAGTACTATAAAGACAGTGCATCCAGATTTACACACAATTTCATGATTCACTTCTATAAACAGTCAAACCTTTACAAACTTTAAAAATTGGCTTTGCGGCACTTTGGTAAACTTCTTTAATAGTGACTTAAGTTAAATCCTTGAAGAATAAATAAAAAGGGCAGGCAATCATTCTGTGGAATTTTGCTTTTGTTAAGACAGGTAGAGAATTCAGATATATTTGTTCTTCTAACTATTTGCTTTTCCTACATTTTGAAGGGAAAACAACACAGTTGACTGACTCCACCTTCCACAGAATATTCTGGGGTCTATCCTCAAGCTCTCTTTGGGTTCTCTAAGCTGATTATGAGCACCAAAGAAGGGGTGGGAGAAAGTCAGAAGGACTTCTCTAATTGAATACCACAGAACATACATGCTTCTATTTCAGTAAAATCTTAAATTATGACTTTAGTAGTCTCTAAAAGGTTAAAATCATGTCACCGACCTCAGCAAAGCTGCAACATATTATTTTTATCCTCAGTTTCAATTCTTTAACCTTCAAGGAACCAAAATGAAATAAAAAATTTAAAACACATGATTGTAAGCAAAGCTTAAGCCTTTATATCAACTGAGAATTAAGAATTTAAGTCACTAATCTTCTTAATGAGCTACCTGATATAACACATTTTTTTAAAGGTAGAAATTCTATTAACCTCCGGATTCTAGAGTTTAACAAATATTGATTACAGTGCTTCCTACAGAATCATGGTCACCTCCCAAATGTTATCCACAATAAAAAGAAAATTATGAAAGTCAGAAAGCAGCTTGATTGTCAGTATTATCAGTTTCCATCTTCTTTAACCCATGTGAAATGTCCAAGACATGTGGTAGAAGAAAAGGAATCAGGCTATTTCTAGAATTCATGATAACAAACTCACTATGAGAACATTTAAAGAAATTCTGAGTTCACATTTAAAATTAAGAGTCCTATTAATAACCAACAAGCTAAAGTGTTTTCTATATCTCACTGCTCTGTTTATTTCTAGCAATTTACAGAGAAGTTTAGCAGAACTGTAAGGGTTTTCATCAGTTAATTTTGACCATAAGCCAGGTCACATGACAGAAACTGTTATACCAAATATTTAAAAATTAGAGCTGTGCTGGAAAAAAAAATGACCTAGAATAAGAACTTGAGAGAGACAGAGACTGATTTTCTGCCAGAGACAATTTTACAGCCTCAAGTTTCAGAAGGCAATGCAAAAGTAAAATTGGTTGTTGTTCCTAATTATTTTCTCCATTTGAATATTAATCAACATAGCATCAAGTCTAAAATTTGCCTACTAGTAACATTTTCTTAGTAGTCATCACTTACAGAAGGGATTCTGAATTTACATAACTGAGAAACAAATCTAACAGGAAAAAATTTAGGGCCTGTTCTTATACCTTTGAATTAATGATGAATAAAAACAGAACTAAACTTAATGAAGGCACTATTGTAAATAGCAATCTATACCTTACCTACCCCCACACCTCAAAAAAGATCTCCACCAGAAACCGAGAATTATGTTATGGCCTGTTAGAAAAAGAAAACTAAGAAATTGTAACATTAAGAAGGGAATTGAATTATGATCTCTACACCTGAAGGTATACTGACATAATAAACTATTTGTCAGCAGTACCTTGAAATCTTTGAAACTATAAAAGTACTAGTCTTTGAAAAAGCCCACTTCACCACCATAAAGTTTATATAGTGAAAACATTTACCCAAACCAGTGGTTCCTACACCATAATGTGGCTCAGAATAACCTGCCACTTGTTAAGAAACAATGCTGGGCCCCACACCCTGGGTTTCTGATTCACTAGGTCTGGGGGTGGGGCCCAATATTATGCACTCCTAACAACTTCTCAGGTGATGCTGAAGTTGCGGGTCCCAGGACCACACACTGAGAACCACAGGCCTAAATTATTAAAGGTACATCAACACAGCCCTAACCAAAATTTTGGTCAAGATGCATGTAAACCAATCAGGATAGAATAATGCTTACAAAGAACGCTAATAAATTCACCCTTATTACATCAAAACATCAACATCTGCTTCGTGGTCTTCCTCAGTCACTTTCAAGGACAGCACTTCTTCATTAAGGAAGAGCCCACTGAGCCTCTCCTTCCGTGCCTGCCTCTGCTCTTTCAGTTGTCTCTTGCGGAAGGCCTTCTGCTGTAACTTTCGCTGCTTGGATCGCTTCTGTCAAAACAAAAATTTCTAAATCAGTTAAAGCTTAGTTCTTGGCATATCCACCAAAAAATGTATCACAAATCAAATTATCTATTTTCCAAATTTTAAGAGCCAATCAATGTCTTTTGCAGTATAATCCTTGTTCCAGTAAGTGAGCTTAGACCTTAAATGTTTTTTTCAGGATTGCAATTTTATGATATTTGGCCAGTGACTCTTCTGATTAAGAAGGGTTGAAACTTGATCATTTTGGCTAGTTATAAATAACTAGTCATTTCAAATACTTCTTTTTTAAAAATCCAATTAGGGTACATTGGTGTCAATGCATAATTAAAACTAGGGGACAATATCAAATACAAGTGTAGAGTATATTGCCCAAATCTTGAATGCTTATGATTCTCAGGTGCTTTTCATCTACAAACACTAGCAAGTTTACAATGGACAGGAAAAAAATGCTTTTTTCTTATTAGGCAAATACCATCTTAGAAACCCAGTGGGTACTTCAATCCTTGTTGGTGGTGAACTGATGTCAAATAGGAATGACCACATAACTACAGAAATCCCTTGGCAATCAACAAAGCTGGCTATGTTTCTACTACTTCCCTAAGAACCAGGGAAGGAATCACTGTGCATCTTCGTCACCACTGGGTTGCCAAAGAGTTAAAGAGATACTCTTATCATCCTTAAACTAGCTCCAGACTGTCCCCACTGCAAAGAACTTAAATCCCCTGCTAAGCCACATACTCATTTTATATATACTTATGCCTTTTTTCAGTGCCTGATAATATTACACAGAATTTTCTCAACCATGAAAAGAGTAGACAGAAATTATAGAAAGCATTATTACATTTTTAAATTAACTAAAAAGAAACATTCAAGATTAAAACACTCAGAAAACATTTAAGACACATAAAAGACAACATTCTTAGGAGCTAATAGACAGCAACATCAGCAACATAGTGAGATTCGCTCAGTAGTGAGTTGCAGTCAATATTGCAATCTTGAGAATAACTCATTATGTCCATCAATTTATCGAATGTTAAACAGACACAAAAATCAGATAAAATTGAATGCAATATGGTTGTGGGTCAGAATAGCATTTCAAAGAGTTCAGCCTAGAGTGCTTTTTTCTACAGCAGAGCATCCTGCTTGTTCAATTACAACCAAAACCCACAGGCATCTAGACAGCAGGATCCTTTAAACTCTTCAAGAAATTTATATGAAGGAGTACTAATGTTAATATTGAAAGGTAAAGTTTTGTATTGATTAGACTTTTTACTTTTGAATCCCGAATCCGCTCTGCTGCACTTGCAGATAGGTTGCTGTCACTGTGTGCTCGACTCATGTTGGCACTGGAGTTTGAAGCAGAGTTTCCAACACTGGACCCACTGCTGCTTGCAGAACTGACCATGCTGGCACTGCTGCTGCCGGCGCTGGCACTGGCACCGCTCACTCCACTGGTGCTTGCACAACTAAAGTTGCTTCTCTTCCAGGCCTCTCTTGCAGGCCGTTGGCGAGGGTTATGCTCCTTGATATAATTTCTGACCTTGGAAGACACAGACAAAAACTGGTTTGTGTTGTACCTTGATGTTCTACCCTCAACATGCTGGGGGTAATATCATATTGTACTTGATCTAAAAGACTGCCAAAAGTGTTGCAGATGCATAAATTTAGAAATCTCTAAATTTATAAATAAGTACCAGAAAAATGGACAATGTTCAAAATTCCAGAAAACAGTTACAGAGCTAGATTTTTAAAGCATACAAATTATCAGTAAATGGAAGGCCATTAGTCTTTAGAATTTAGGATTAGAAGAAAATACCACTCTGGTGAGGTGTGATGGTTCATGCCTGTAAACTTAGCACTTTGGGAGGCCAAGGCAGAAAGATTACCTGCACCCAGGGGTTCAATATCAGCTTGAACAACAGTGAGATCGGGTCTGTACAAAAACCAAAAAAATTAGCCAGGTGCAGTGGCATATGCCTGTAGTCCTAGCTACTTGAGAGGTTGAGATGGGAAAATTGCTTGAGCCCAGGAGTTTGAGGCTGCAGTGAGCTATGATCACACTACTGTACTCTAACCTGGGCAACAAAACAAAAACCTATCTCTAAAAAAAGAAAGAAAAAAAGAGAAAGCACTATGAAATAGAAACTAACAACAAAATGAAATAGATGAGCTAGGCATTTGTTAAACTCCACTTAAAATGATTTAAATAAGTTGCTGATTTTACCTAAGATTAGACTATTTCCTAAATCTTAGCTAGGGGCCAACAGTATCTGTCTTCAAATATGAGACATCAATTTACCATACTAATGAAAAATTTTCTAGAATGTAGAAAATTATAGTATATCTGTTGGGAAAAATACTCAGAGAAATTTTTCATAAATATGATAAATGCAAAACAAATCAAAAGTAGAACAAAAATATTCATTTAGCCATGTGCCAGAGTAAAAGAGCAGCCAAGAATGTAGTAAGAAGATACCATGTATATTTCAGAATAGTAGAGGGAAAAGTTATTAGATTTTACCCAGGTTCAATTACTCCATAAAACTATTCAAATCCCTCAGCTTAGATGTTTGCCAATGTGTAGCTCTCATTAATTTGTATTTTGATTGTCAATTAGTCTCCTGTAAGTTAAGTTAGAATAAATCTATACCTTGACCTAACCACCCCTTCGGTGGTGATATTAAGTTTCAAATTCTAAAACATCAAAAAGCAGGTTCTAGATCCACACATTCCAGAAAAGTATTGCCAGGTGAGATGCACATAAAACCTCTTAAAACTGCATGTTCTCCAATATATCACCATCATTTTTTCTAATATTACATTCCACAGCAGTGATTTTTACCTTAATTATGTATGTAAATATATATACTTATTCAAATCTACATTTTATAAGATGGTGGTATTTTGACTATCTAAACATCTGTATTTTCTTTACATACCTGTTTCAGTTTTTCATCTGTGAGACAGTTAAGTTCAATAATAAACTCACTGTCTGTAGGGGATATTTGAGCAGAAGGATCAATGATTTTAATGATATCAAGTTGCTCCCGAAGACCCATCTCAGTACTCACTTTGCGACTCAGATACTCAATATATTCCACCTATGTAATGAAAAATTACAACCAATAATATCATTGCTAAAACCTCTGATCCTTTAGTATGTGTCAATTATGTGTTTTATATGTCAGGTCTTAAGATAACATTTGTTCCCCGAAAAAGTCAGCTAAAGCTCAAATTCAGATTTACTAAGCAATTCACATTTACCCAGTAGCTTTTTTTTTTGGTAACTTTATTATAGAGATGGAGGTACAAGTCAGGATTAGGTACATAAATATTCTACATACAGGTTAAGTTTGAGCCTCCAACTGGTCCTCGCTTGCATCTGTTTAGGACGAGGTACCCTTTGTGCTGTTGTTACATGTTCCCCGCGAATCCCCTGCAATGTCCTGGGACTGCCAATCCCTCCCTTGTGCTATTGTGATTAATGTTCAGGTCACACTTATGAGTGAGAATATGTGATATTCAGTCTTTGTTTCGTGAGATCTACCCAGTAGCTTTAAATAGGCAATAAACAAGCTTCACATATTCTCCACATATATGCTTTTAATTAAGGATGTCAAGATAGTTACCTGCTCATCATTTGTCATTGCACTCCAAGGAAGTTCATCTAAATTCCGGTGCTTGTTTTTCTTTTTAGGAAGCAAGCAAGGTGAACTTGGAATACTGGGTATGACGTCAGAAAGTACATCACTCCCACTGGCAATGTCACTGCCTGGTAACTTCATAAAAAGAAGAATGTGAATTGGGAAGGCAAAAATTTTCAAATTACATTTTAAATACCAAAATATAACTCACATATTGATGAAAAGTTACTTTAATACAAGACTAATAGCAAATACAGAATCAGGACATTAATTCTGATTCATGCCTATTTTATAGAAAGCAGCAGCATCAATATACTCTTTGTATATACTCACTTACTCAATAAAAGAGGTTTTCCAAAAGCTTAAAATCATAATCAAGACTTATTAAAATGGTAACTTCAGAGCCAATCATCATTAAGGTTTTTAATTTAAAATGCAAATGTGACTAGGGCTCACATAGCATAATGAATAAGCAGCACTGGTTTCCACCTCAGGAGACCTAAGTGAGCTGCCACTAACTGGCTTTTTGCCAGAGACTGTGCTAAACATACTGCCAATATAAAGACACATCACCATCTTTGTCCTCAAGTCTGTATTAATCTCAAGACAATTAAAATAATTTAATATATGCTGTTAATATAAAGCAAAAACACTTTAAGAATCAGAAATACTACAAAGGAATTGTTAAAAAAAGATAGAAGGAAGACAAAGGAGAAATAAAAGCAAGTACAACACATAAATCAAATCTATATAAAGTGAGACAAACAGTAAAAATACATGCTGTAATCTTACATTACCTGCTAGAGTGGATTTAACAGTTTTACTGATGTATACTCAACACACAAAAATTGCACATCTTTGATGTATACAATTTGACGAGTTTGCATATATGAATATACCTGTGAAACTATCACCAGAATCAAGGTAATAAACATCTGTTACTGCCAAAAGTAAACATGAATTTAATTGTAAATAAATGTATTTTAGTCATTCATCAAAAAGATAAGGTCTTTTTCTTCTGCAAGGAGTACATAATAATTTTTAAATGTATTGCTTTCATTTCTACAAAGTACAAAACAGCACTTTTTTGCTTTATTTTTCGTTTTTATAGAGTTTGCAATTGTATCTGAACTCCAAGTGATTTCTAGGCTTTTGAAGTTACCAAAATAGAAGAGCTACTTTAGTCATGAAGACCACTATGACACAAGTATTTGAACTCCTACTGTACACAGAGCACTATAAGAGGTATAAGAGATTCAAGAGAGTGTAAGTCCTTATACTCTACTTGGAAAAATTACAGTAACACAAACATACAATAATACAACATGGGCACATGACAAATGCAAGGTTTGAGATGACAGATCATTAGTGGAAATATCTAGCAGCAGGTTGAAACTGTAGGATTAAAGTTTGGGAGAACTACAAGGGACTGCAGGCAGGCATTGGAGAGTCGATTGCATAGAAGAGTAAAGTCACAAAGATGAGTTCAATCACTATGCAAAAGATAACTATGATGTTTAGAATGAAATTGTCTCAAGTTAGAAAAAGATCATTCTTCCTACACTCCCATAAATAGCTACTACTTCAAAAAACCACATTTTTACTATGGTAGTCATTGATGAATCCAAGTCCGTGTGTGAATTCCAACAATTTATATGCCTTCTTTAAAAATATCATTAGCACTGCTTGAATTGTTCACCCTTGGCCCTAATGTTACCTAGTCAGCATTATGAAAGGATGGTTGCTGAATGCACACATGAAGGTCATCTCTTTTTCAGCTTTTAATGGCAAAAAAAGGAAATGCTTTGCTATTTTCCCTTTGAATTAAAATCACATTAGAAATCTCCCTAGAGTCCCTAAAATAATGAAATACTTCTTATCAGATGAAAGGCCTCCACTACTTCAAGTTCCTTTGATAAGACAGAAAAAGGAATTCCCAAAACATCTATACTTTCAAAATATAGCAAAAAATTTTCATCTAAACCTTTAAAGAGTATTATCTGCTAAGTGCCAGACTACATGCTAAGCACCAAAATTTGCACCTTTAATTCTGTTTTTGTATGTGTTGGGGGAGGAGGTTAAAGAGGGCAATTAATTTTTGGCCATTTTTTCAGGGAGAAATAAAAAGACCCCAGAGTTCAAATCCCAGCTCCACTGCTCACTAGTGGTGAGATCTTCTGTAGGTTACTTTATTTCTCTGAGCCTCAGTACTTGCAGTAAAATATGGTCAATACTATAAAGCTTTTTTTTATAACTTTTGAATTTTTTATTTTAAAGATGTAGGGTACAATTTGGGGTTAGGTATGCAAATATTCATTATGCAGGTACCCTTGTTAATGAGGTGTTCTCCCCTTCCCCAGGCAGATTCCCACTACTGCCAATCCCACCTCCCTGCCCCGCCACTCCCACGCAGTTTTCCGCTACTGCCAATTCTTTTCTTATAGTATTACGATAGTTGTTCAAGTTCTGCTTATGAGTGAGAACATGTGATACTCAGTTCTTTGTTTCTGTGAAAGATCACTCAGTATTATAGACTTGAAGTCAATCCAGGCTGCTGCGAAGTTCATTTTGTTCTTCTTTATGGCTGCATAATATTCCATCGTGTATATGCACCACATTTTCTTTATCCAGTCCTCTTTTGATGGGCAGCACAGTTGGTTCCACGTTCTTGCTATTGTAAACAATGCTGCAATAAACATACGTGTAGAGGGATCTTTTTTATAGAGTGATTTGAGTTTTTCCAGGTATATTCCCAGTAGTGGGATTGTGGGGTCATATGGAAGGTCAATTTTTAGAACTTTTAGGAATTGCCACACTGTTTTCCACAGAAGCTGTACTAGTTTACACTCCTACCAACAATGTAGAAGTGTTCCCTTTTTGCCACATCCTCTCCAGCATCTGTTATTTTTTTGAGTTTTTGATGATGGCCATCCTGACTAGAGTTAAGTGGTATCTCAGTGTAGTTTTAATTTGCATTTCTTTGATGACTAGTGAGGATGAGCATTTTTTCATGTATCTATTGACTGCTTGTACATCTTTTTTTTTTTTTGAGAACTGTCTATTCATATCTTTTGCCCACTTTGTAATGGGGCTGTTTGTTTTTTTCTTTTCAGCATATTTGAGTTCCTAATACCATAAATCTCAAAGGATTGTTGAGAGGTTAAAATGCGATAACATGATTAGCACATAGGTGACACTCAATAAAGAAATGTATATTTCGAGCCGGGCTCGGTGGCTCAGCCTGTAATACCGCACCTTTGGGAGGCTGAGGTGAGTAAATTGCCTGAGCCCGCGAGTTCGAGACCCGCCTGGGCAGCGAGACCTCATCTCTACAATAAATCAAAAAATCAGCTGGGCGTGGTGGCGCATGCCTGTAATTCCAGCTACTCGGAAGGCTGAGGAGGAAGGATCGCCGGAGCCCAGCAGGCCGAGGCTGCGGTGGCCGGGAGCAGCCACTGCATTCCAGTTTGGGCAACAGAGTGAGACTCCAACTCAAAAAAAAAAAAAGGAAAGAAAGAAATGTATTTTTCTTTTTCCATTCCTTGCCATGATTTTGGATCGGGTCAACATAAACCCTTAGATAATGTCACATATTGCCAAAATGGCTGGATTAAGTTTCACAAGGTAGTGTAACAGAGTGACAGAAGAGGAAAAAGGAAAAGGCATTTAAGTAAGGAGAATAAGCTAGTAAAATCATAGATGGAAAAAATAGGGTGAGGTGACATATCATAGTTATATCGTATCACTTAATTATACATCAAAATATGATTGAAACTGAAAATCAGTACTAGGTATTTGACAGCTCCACAGAAGAACCAAAGTTGTCATATGATATGTAGAAGTAGGCCCATAACATTTTCTAACCAGAAGTAACTTGATGGAACTGGTCTTCAGGGAAGATTAGTTAAAAAGCACTATGGTGACAGAACAGAGTGATGAAAGACTAGAATTAGACAACTCTTGTTGTGATCTAGGCCTAGATTAAGATAAACAAAAATGGAAAGGCAAATGGGAACAGATATAAAAAAATTTCAAATGAGCCGGGTGCAAGGGCTCACGTCTACAATCCCAGCACTTTGGGAGGCTGAGGAGAGAGAACTGCCTGAGAGCCCAGGGGCTCAAAACCATCCTGGGTAACTTGGAGAGACCTCATCTGTACAATAAATTAAAAAAAATTAGTTGGGTATTGTGGTGGGTACCTGTAGTCCCAGCTACTCAAGAGGCTGAGGCGGAAGGATCGCCTGAGCCAAGCAGGTCAGGCTGTGGTAGCCGAGTGTGTCACTGCATTCCAGTCTGGGTGATAGAGTAAGACTCTGACTCAAAAAAAAATTCAAATGAAAAACAATTTACAAAGTTGTTTCATAACTGAATGGATAGTGTATTAAAGAGTCAGATGTTGAGACCAGAAAACTGGTGACATTTCACAGCAGTCATACAATGCACCCGGAATACTACACTTAAAGACCTCAATTTTTACAATAAGGGAACTGAAATAATATTATAGATCTTCTAGTTCAACACCCTTATTTTACAAATAAGGGAAAGTGATGTCCAGGGAGGGTCATACAATTAATGGTAGAATCCAAAGTAGGACATAAGTCTTGTGCTTTCAACTATGCCAGACAGTCTAGCCTTGGAGGTAGTTTGGAATGAGCGAAGAATGCGATCTAGGATATAGAGAGTTTGTAGTGATAATGCAAGAAGTAAGCATAAGTGTCCTTTGGACAGACAGCAATCATTTTTCACTATGCTACAAGACATGTCACAAAGCAGAGTTTATTTTTTTTCCCATGGAAACACTGTAATTGGAAGCTGCATCACTGACCAAGGACTCAGCATCAAATAATAGGTAGGTATTAAATAATAAGGTCATCCAAGTGGAAATGTCAAGTCGTCAATTAGATATATGAGATTAGAGAAGCAGTTGTACAGCAGAATTAATTGTATGGGCTCCAAGATATGTGTTAAACTAGCAATTTTCCATTTTATAACAGCTGATGTATTTCAGAATAAAATGCTTAATAACTCCCATCTCATATTTTTCATGGACAATATTTGGCATATTTATATTATAATCAGTTATTGTGACACAGGGAGAATTAAATCAAATATCTGCCATATTTTATGCAGGATGT